AAACCCTTTAAACAAGCCGGGTGGTGGTGGCGCACGCCTTTAATCCCAGCACTCGGGAGGCAGAGGCAGGCGGATCTCTGTGAGTTCGAGGCCAGGCTGGACCAACAACCTCCAAAACAATACAGAGAAACCCTGTCTCGTAAAAACCAAAAACAAAAAAACAAAAAACAAAACAAAACCAAAAACAAAACCAAAAACAAAACAAAAAAACCAAACCCTTTAAACAAAGAAAGTAACATCAGAAGCTACTAAAATAATATATATGGCTAATACTAAGTTAAGCATGATTCGAGAGTTCACACCCATGTCCTTAGTGTGAACCTGCTGTTTTCTAAGAGGCATTCTCTCTCCCTTAGTTGCCTGTGTTTATATGTACATTAAAATTTTATTTAAAAATATGTCTGTGTGTGTAATGTTAGAAGCATTTTTGCATGTGTATACATGGAGGACTGACATTAACTTCAGGAGTCTTCCTGCTCTCTATGGTATTGATTGAGGCAAGATCTCTCAATTGAACAATTCAGATAGTCTAGATACCCAGCTTGTTCTAGGTATCCTGTCTCTGCCAACTGAATGCTGGAATTACAGGAAGGTCACTGTTATTGATGGAAAGAAGATGGCCTACAAAGAGAATGGCACTACGACAACAAATCCCTAACACAAAATATCCAAGAAATATGGGACACCATGGAAAGACAAACTTAAGAATAACAGGTATATAAGAAGGTGAAGAAAATCACCTCAAAGGGGCAGAAAATATATTTAACAAAATCAAAGAAGAAAACTTTCTCAACCTATAGAAAGACATGCCAATGAAGGTGCAAGAAGCTTACAGAACACCAAATAGAATAGACCACAAAACAGACCCCTCGCCACATAATAATCAAGACCCAAAACATACAGAATAAAGAAAGAATATAAAGAGCAGCTAAGGAAAAAGGTCAAGTAACATATAAAGGCAAACCTATCAGAATTACACCTGACTTCTCCATGGAAACTATGAAAGCCAGAAGGTCTTAGATAGATATTCTACCAACACTAAGAGACCACGGATGCCAGCCCAGACTACTATATCCAGCAAAGCTTTCAATCACTATTGATGGAGAAAACAAGATATTTCAGGACAAAACCAGATTCAAACAATCCATATCCACTAACCCAGCCCTACAGAAAGTTCTGGAACAAAAACTCCAACCCAAGGCAGTTAACTACAACCAGAAAAACATAGGCAATAGATAATCCCAACTTATCAACAGCCAAAAGAAAAAAGGGGTGGAAATCCACATATAATTCCAACACCAACAACCATTCAAAAACAAACAAGAATGAGCAATCAATGGTTATTAATATCCCTCAATATTAATAGTCTAAACTCGTCCATAAAAAGACACAGGCTAACAGAATGAATTTGAAGATAGAACCCATCCTTCTGCTGCATACAAGAAACACTCCTTAGCCTCAAAGACAGACATTACCTCAGAGTTAAGGATTGGGAAAAGATTTTCCAATCAAATGGATCCAAGAAACAAGCGGGGGTAGCAATACTAATATCTAACAAATTAGACTTTAAAATAAAATTAATCAAGAGATGAAGGAGGACATTTCATACTCATCACAGAAGAATCACAAAATGGGATGACTTTACCTTGGCATGTGTGAAGGTTGGAAGCAGGACCTGTTCATAATACTCATTTGTGTCAGCTTTGATCAATTCAATTTTAAATAGCTTTCAGATATTAAAGCACAAATACAGCTGTTTGTTGAAACAGGGGGCTCAGTTTCTAGTCCTGACTGACCTGGACCTTACTATGTAGACCAGGTTAGCTGTGAACTAAGAGATGTGCCTACCTCTGCCTCCTGAATGCTGAGATTAAAGGAATGTGCCACTACACCTGACCAAATGCAGCTTTAATATATAATATATTCATATCTAAAGTGTCAAAGCCATTTGAAGTCACTGCCACAGTAAAACAAAAACAAAAACCTGGTCAATCAATTCTGCATTACTAGATAGCATCACTTTTGTCAGAAAATTATGGAGAAACATAATTTTATTTCAGTTTTGAAATCCTTTGCTTTTCCTGTGGTTCAGACTACTGTTTCTATACCAGGAGATTTTATTACATGAAGCATCTTAGGGGAAAGGTCTTTCATTAAAAATACTTGGTAAATGCCCCTGGGTGTGGTAGTCTGAATGACATGAGTTTCTGAGTGTAAATTAAAAGCTTTTATCCAAAAGATGCACAGAATCTCGTTATTTACTTACTAGTTTGCAAATCGCAGTCCAAATCACATCTAAGCTTTCCAAAACATTTCAGATCTAATTTGCTGGCGAGGAACAGAGGCTGTGGGCCAGGGCCAACACCAATAGAAGACTGTTTAAAGAGGTGGTAAGCACCTGGGTGAATCGTTTCACTTTTGTGGATTTCTTTTCTGATGAAAACAAGATCACAAGACAAAACCTGACTTCACCCCTAGTGTTATGTCTGTCTCCCTGGAAGGCGTGAAAGGTACTCACACCTTTTCTTTTCCGCTGTACGTACTATACTGGACAGGACTCGGTTCAGGCTATCCTGCAGGTCCCACTGCTCCACACAGCAGCCTAATCCACTGTGCCATCCACTCTGATCTGCCTGCTTCTACTTTAACCCGACTCAGGCTCCCTGCACAGCACCAGTGACCCTGTCTTCCCACACTTGCACTGTACGGAGGGCTATAAATAAATCCTAGATTCATAAGGCAGCACCACGCTCCAGCCTGCACATTTCCTGAGCCTAATTGCTCTGGGAACACCAGTGTTCTAGTGTAAGCCTCATTCTGTGTGCATGGTAATTATATGTTAATGCCTTTTGAAATTAATTCAGTAACCCCACATTTGAATTGAAAGGAGGGGTAAAGGAGCTGAGATTTAATCACACTGTCTTCTGGGAGCCTAATAGGAAATTTCTTTTACACATGAGTTGTGCCATCGACCCACAGAGCTTACCTACTATTCTCTTGCTGCAATGCAATCCAGCACTCCAACAATACTGCAGTACCACAGGCCCCAAACATACACACACACAAGGCTCTGGGAGAAAAGTAGAGTTTCTGACTTAAAAGAAGACAGGCATGTTTTTGATAATTCTTTTACTTGACTTCAGAGTCTTAAGCAAGTGAATCAACTAGAACTAGGAGGCAGTGAGCAAAAGAGTACAGTAACTGTCATGGCCAAGTAATGATGAGACCATGAGCTTACAGTAGAGTGACAAAAATAAGTAAGACACGTAATTGTACCCAATTCAGGGTTGAAGTCATAAAATAACCATATTGTGGGTGAGAGTTAGGAAATACCCATGGTTTGCTTCCATTTCTTAAAAGCCTATTTGCGCAATGTTCCCAGTCATTTAATGCTCTCCGCTTTCCTGGTGCACATCACTCAATTGATTTCTTATTCTCAGCTAGCAGGCACATTCCAATTCCTCATATATTAAACAGAAATGACTACATTTTTCCCCAAGCTATAAAAAGAAACTAGAAAATATTTTCCCATATCAATTTATTTTCTGTCATCCTTGAACTAAAGTCAAGACTGTTAGGAGAGAAGATGGATTTCAATTGCCTAAGATCTGGGTGTTTGTTAAGGTGCTGCATGGAATTATTAAGGAATAAAGACACTGTTCTGACACGATTTCAGAGACACTAGTATCTGAATATAAACATACTAAAAGGACAGAAACACACATATACAGAAATGATAACTTTTGACCCTATCACCTAAAGCATGCCAGAGACTGTGGCAACACCTAGCCTACCATATTCATCACTAACTTCCCCAAAGGAAGGGTTGCTCTGAGCTTGATGCTACCCAACCACTACACAGCTAGCTCTGTGAGAACAGGACCCAGTTCATGCAGTACCTACTATGTGATAGCCCCATTTAAGGGTCTGATGCAAGTAGTACCAACTATAAACCCAAAGAGACTATGAACAAAGCAGTGATATTAATAACAACGACAATGAAGCAATAATGAGAAGTAACATGATGAAATGGTGACTTTCTTAAAATGACCAAGACAAAGGCAATTTTATTCAATCAAGGGAAAGGCCATAAAAATAAGTATATGTCTTTTGAACTTATTTTTAAGTATTTAAGGAAGATAATTGTTAAGTGATTTGAAAAAGCTAAGGCTGAAGAGAGATGGCATGTGACAATAAAATCTGTGTCCCAACACATTTGTATTTTTTGCCATTGGGCAGAAACCAGAGCATCTTTGGGGAGGGTAAAAAGGAGTTGATACAGTCACATTGAATCTACATGATCTCTGCACACATAACTTAATATATGGCTGCATATAGCAAACAGCCAGATCAGAAAGCTACAGGAAGGAAAAGGAGAAGTACAAGGTAAATGTTGTTCTTTTTCACCCCTTGCCTGGCAAACACCTGAAGTTTCTATACATGAAGGAGGAAAGAGGGTTAATTAGCAGTTAACTCTTTGCTATGCTGCATTTTGATGACATCAGAAGACACACAGATTTGATCTCTAAGCTTTCGGCACAGAGGTAATCCTTTTGTAGTTTTCTATTTGATCACTGTTCATCTTTTGATCTAACATGTGGTGGTATCTTATTTGTATTCTAACAAATAAAGCTTGCCTGGAGATCAGAGTTCAGAGCTAGCCATTAGTTAACCGAGGAGGCCAGGCAGTGGTGGCACTCACCTTTAATCCCACCATTTGGGATCTCATGTACTTGGGAGGCATATCCCTTTAATTCCAGCACTAGGGAGGAGAAACAAGAAGTGATATGGCTGGGCGGAGAGAGGAAGTGGTAAGGTGGGAGGAGACAGGAACTAGCCCCTTGTTGGACTGAGGATTTCATATGGGTAAGAACTCTAGTGGCTGGCTGCTCTGCTTATCTGGTCTTTCAACTTTCACCCCCAAATATCTGACTCTAATTAAGACTAATTAGAATTTATGCTATACTGACATCTGGTCTCTGACTCCCAATCCTGATTGTTGTTCTAATGAAGGATAGGATCAAGGGTCTGGGCATGCTTATAAGTGTGCTACCACTGAGCTACACCTGTACTCTAATTTTTTGTTTTGTTTTTGTTTATCATAACAGGTTTTCACTATGGAACCCTGGCTGTACTAGAACTCACTCTGTAGACCAGGATACCTCTGCCTCTCAAGTTGCTGGGATTAAAGGTGTGTGCCACCACTGCCTGGCATCTATGTCTAACTAGTGTGGCAAGCTTCACACTCTGAATTCAGGCAAGCTTTATTTGTTAGATCACAAGCAAAATGTCACCACAGTCCACTTTGGCTCTGCCTCTCAAGCACTCCCCATGTTTCACTATTTGAGGCCCTGAACCACCTCTGGACAGTTGACAAGGTCAACATGAGGTGTGGCTATTTGTCCAGGACCTGAAACCATCAGTCAACATAAATCTCTTGGTGGGAGGTGGTAGTAGCAAGGAGGAGGAGGAAAAGGAGGAGGAGGGGGGGGGAGGAAAGTCCTCTGTATAACGTAGCTATGGAGATGCATCTAAAACAATAACGCACAGTTAAGACATGGAGCGAGGACACAGGTGTGTAAGCACAGTAGCAGAGCAAGTACATGTTTAGCATGTTCAAGTACATGTTTAGCATGTTCAAGTACATGTCTAGCATGTTCAAGGTCCAGGCTGTGATTCTCAGCCTACGCAAGCGAGCAGACACACACACACACACAGACACACACGGACACGGACACACATCGACACTAGCAGTGAGAGAAGGAGTAGGAGGGATAGGAAGAAGTGGGGGAAGAGAGAAACGGAGGTTACAGAGTCTATTAAATTACCACAGGAAACACAGTGACATCAGTGCTCACAGTATGACTCTTGGAGTCTGCCAAGCCTAAGTTCTTTTTTGGTTAAACATTTTTATTTATTTTCATGTGTAGGAATATTTTCCCTGCACATACAGAAGTGAACTATATATGTGTCTGGTGCCCATGGAGGTCAGAAGAGGGTGTTACAGATGCCTGTGACTCACCATGTGGGTGCTAGAAACAGACCCTAGGTTCTCTGCAAGAGTAGCAAAGGCTCTCAACTTTTGACTCCAGCCCCTAAGCTTGAGTTCTTCTCCAAGTTTAGACACTTATTTCTATAATATAAAGCATTCATAATCCAGTTTTGTTATGCATAAAGAGAAGTAATTTGCATCGAAGGTTCTTAAGAACATTAAAGACGTGTATGTACCATGCACAGTACCTCACTGAGCTAGCGCCCATTTTCACCATTATTTACCTTCAGCACTTCAGTCTCATCCCAAGTGTGTGTGGGGCTTCTAACCAGGAGGTAAAGGAAATAAACTTGAGACGTGGATTATAATGGTCAATATATTCTGTCAAATTTCACCTTTATTTATTTAATAATTATACTAGTTGGTGATATCCCCTAGTGTGGGTTACCTTTGTGATGCCAAGTTACAGAACAAGTAAGAAGGGCACCCTCCCAGGACTGGCTCTGCCCATAGAAGTGTCTCTGTTCCATATTGACTTAAGGTTAGAGAGTTCAAGCCTATCCTTGCTCTTTCAAGGTTAAAGGCCTAAGACCTAAAGGATGTTTGGCCTACAGAGTGGTCGCTGGATGTCTTCCCTAGATAACAGCATACTTGATCTAAGGTGTGGCTACGAGGTGTTTCAATCCTCAAGGCTAGATAATAGGAGATTTGATCTAAAGCGTGGTTACTGGATGCTTGAGAATTAAGGAAGTAATTATGTCTGTTTGTTCCTTGAATCATTGGTAAGGAAGTCCTCCCCGCCCCCATTTTGGTTTGGGTACACAAGAACTTTGAGCAATAAACTTAGGGTGGATCCTTGTGTTCCCTAGATGCCCTCCTGACTCTATTTTCTGTCTCTAGCCTATTTCTTCCCTCAATCTGCACTCCCTTCTCATGCATGAACTGGACTAGTCAGCTGGACGAAACAGCTCTGCAGCAGGAAAGGGCATTAGGTGGAGAGAAGAAAGGAGATGCTAAAGTCTCCCTGAATTGGCTGCAGACGTATAAGGCATGTTCTAAGTCTGAAGGGGAAACCATCCACATAAGTGCAGAGGCTGCTACTTCATCATAAAGACAGTGTGATGCCCAGTGTCTTGTGACTGGCCTCCCCTAAAAGCAACATGCTGGAGTCTGTTTCCCCAAGAAGCCTTAACAGTGGGTAAACACAATCAAGAAGTCAGAACAGGAAAACAGCTAGGTGTGTTTGGTATCAAGAATGCATTGTCTGTTACTTATTATGATTTTCAGTTTGTAATACAAAGGCCTCTTTTGTTTCTGTTTCTTTTTATCTCTTTTCTCTATACTGGAAGCTATTTGAATGAAGGAACTATAAGTGCTCATTTCTGTCCTTATGGATACTTGAGAAACATCTGAATGAATGAAGAAAATGAATATTAAAACTCCAACAAACTCAAAACAAATTCCTAGAATTTAAACTTAGGAAAACAGAACAACCTTTTCAGATCAGATTACCAAGGAGATCATCCAGATAGTAATTACCTGAGGATCAGCCTACTCCCTCCCTGCTTTCTGTTTCTAAGTAAGGAAGCTATGTGACCTAACATGTCACAAATGTGACAGACATAGCTATTCCCAATAAAAATTCCACAGACTTCTTTATCTCTGTTTATTTCATTTTCCTTCGACAGGGTCTCACATAGCCAAGGATGGCTCAAGCTCACCATGTAGCAGATGTTGGTCTTGAACTCCTGACCTTCTTACCTCTACCTCCCAAATCCTGGGATTACAGGTAAAGACACCATGTCCAGCTGTCTACAACCATGTCCAGCTGTCTACAGACTTTGTTGGCTCTAACTCATCCATAAAAGAATCTACGTTGGTTTCCCTGTGTGCTACCTCAATACCTAGTCTGTGCACCAAAGGGCAAATTGAAAACAAATGGCTCTCACCTCTAGCAGTTCATCTCCAATCCGCATCCGTCCATCTGCAGCAGCCGGTCCCTCTGGGTTAATCCCCACCACAAATATGCTCATCTTTGACCGGTCTTTATTGCCAGCAAGACTGAGTCCCAGTCCATTCTTATCCTTTTCCAGCTCGATAATGTGCAATTCTCCAGGCAAGTCTGCATATCTTTGCCTGATCTTTTCTACATGAGAAATGGAAAAAAAATAGAGTATGAGTCTATATTGTGGTGATATCAGGATTCTCCTATATTTAGTGTGGTTCATCTACAGTGCTTTCTTTGAATAAATCACGTAAGGTTTTCATGGCCCTGTGGGTAAGTTATAGCTAGCAAATATTTTTATCTCCACATAAGATTAGAATGAACACCAAACTTCTCGCTTCTGGTTCCCATTAGCTTAACCTTTCATGGACTGTTTTTCCTTCTGATAGTTATCAAAATACGGGGAAATCATGGCCCCCAAGCCTCCACCTTGCCAAGAAGGTTTAGAAAATTTACTGATAGTGAGGTCTGAACAAAGTATTTGATTTTAGTGACAAAATAATGAATCAAACAGTTTTTGTTTCTATTCTCATGGACTTAAGATTTGGTCAGAAAGAAAACCAACAATTTATTATACTTAAAATATCATTGTTTAAAAATATGTTTGTCACATTAGGGATTGAATCCAAGGTCATGAGTGTGATAGACAAGAGCCTTTCCACTTTTCCATAAATATCAAGAATGCATTGTTGAAAATATAGAAAGAACATAAAATAAAATTGGATCAACTAAAAGGAAGGGTAATTAAGGGTATCCTTTTAGCTGCCAGATCTAAAAGCAATCCATGAACACCCATACATCCATCAATGTTTTCTCCCTATGGGGTTCTACTTCTCCTTCACTATGCTGAAGATCCTAATAGTCATGGCTTATGTGAGTTCAACAGTTCTATCTTTCCATCTTCTATCTCACCTTCTGTGCTTGCTAGTTTTTAGTCAACGTGACACATGATAGCATCAACTGGGAAGAGGGAACCTCGACTGAGAAACAGCCCCATAAGACTGGCTTATAGGAAAGCATGTGGTGCATTGTTTTGATTGAAGATTGGTAAAGGAAGGCCAGTCCAGGGGTGTGGTGCCAGCGCTAGGCAGGTGATCTTAGGTTGTATAAGAAAGCAGGCTGGCGGGGCGATGGTGGTGCACATCTTTAATCCCAGCACTCGGGAGGCAGAGGCAGGCGGATCTCTGTGAGTTCGAGGCTAGGCTGGACCGACAGCCTCCAAAACAATACAGAGAAACCCTAGAAACCCTGTCTCGTAAAAACAAAAAAAAAAAAAAAAAGAAAGAAAGCAGGCTGCTTAAGCCTGGAGGATCAAGCTAGCAATCAGTGTTCCTCCATGATCTCTGCTTCAATTCCTGATCTGACTTTCCTTCATGATAGACTATACACTATAAACTGAAATAAACCCTTTCCTCCCTAAGTTGCTTCTAGTCAGTGTTTATCACACAACAGACCGCAAACGAGGCAGCCTTCCCACCTCTACACTATTTGATCTAAACTACCTAGCTCAGCTCTTGGTTGAGCCACTTTTCACTTGTGCTGGTTCCATACAACAAAACCACAACAGTACATCAATAGGACACAAATACTGCTCAAAGGTGGTCTTTCATCCCACACTGTGCCAGCTCAGGAAGTAAATTACAGAAAATAAATACAGACGGGTCTGTTTAGATGCGGTTGGCTGCAGATCACCGGGGCACGAATGACATGCTGGCAGACTGGAACATGCACATGACAAAGCTGGATGTGACAGAAAATGATTCTAGGCCCAGTACGTAGGAAGCTGAGGGAGGGGGTCTTCAGTTCAATGCCAGCCTAGGCTACAAATCAAGGCCCCATCTCAAAAAATCAAAAATAAGCAAAAACAAAACAACAAACCAAAAACCAGAAAAGACAAACTGCAAAGATGTGTAATATACACGTGTGTCATATTTAGGGCTAAAGAGACAGCTTATTGAACCTGGGGATCACTGATTGATGAGGCTGGATGGCCAGCGAACTCAGGGCTCATCTTGTCTCTGCCTCAGTGCTGGGGTTTCAGATCTGTTTCTAGACTGGTGATCCTAAGGCAGGTCCTCATGCTTTCACAGTGAGCACTTTACCTACTGAGCACCCTGACCCCACCCCTGGTCTGGACGTCCTATCAGTGTTTAGGATGGTATAATTTTATTTTGCTGCTGCTGTTCTTTATTGAGGCAGGACTTCACGAAGCCCACACTGGCTTCACACTCAGTGTGTAGCTGAGGATGGCCTTGAACTTATGTTCCTCCTGTCTGACATGTCTGGCATGCTCTGATTTCTCCCTCCCCTAATGGACAAGAGATTCAGCAACAAAAAAAAGACTGCTGTCTTTTGAAACTTGTTATGTAATCGCCAATTTGTGGTTTAGAGCTGAAACGTCCTCACAGCTTCTGCATAGAGACTTGTCATGGCGCTCGGCCAGGGCGGAAGGGACTAAGTGAATCATAATGGCTCTGACTAAATTAGTGAAATAATCCATTATGGATTCATAGTTTAAGGGACTTGGGGAAGAGGGCTTCATTATAAAAGCAATCTCTCTGCTTCTTGGACACTATGAAAAAATATGGTTCAAACTAAGAACATATTTGGAAGACAGATGAATCCCAGGAAAGTAAAAAGTTAAAAAATGAAGGGGTAAATAAATAAATAGATGGGTAGTGGTGGCTCACACCTTTAACCCCAGCATTTGGGAGGCAAAGGCAGTGATCTTAGGGTTAGGAGTCAGTCTGGTCTACATAGTGAGTTCCAGAACAGCCAGGGCTACACAGAGAAACTCTGTCTTGAAAAGCCGATAAATAAACAAATAGCTGGTAAAACAGGATACTTTCTGATGTTATACCCACAGGTAGAAAAAAATATAACAAAGAGGAGATATTTTAATCCATCAACGAATTAAAAAGCAGAAGTTTTACAAATAAAGCACAAAAAGACATCTAGCTCCAACATATAAGAAGCTCAAAAGGCTCAGGTTATGTGAGAAAATGTTCATATTTACTAGTAAGTTTACAAATGCAAATTAAGTGGAATACCAAGGGCAGTGTTTGTAGACCAGGAGTGGAACCTATTATACATGAGGCCCTGAGTCCTATCCCTAACTCCAGCCACCCAAATAAATGATTATCAGAATAACAAGTGGGGTAGGTTATCAAAATAAAGCCCAATAAAAGACCGCCAAGATTGACAATCTTATCAGTAGCCTTTGCAGAAGTAAGGACATACTCTGGGGCTGGAAGTGCTGACAGTTACTGCCACCCTGAACAGCTATCAGGCTTTAAACCAGCAATTCCAATCTTGCCATATGCAGCTTCCCAACGTGACATAGGCGCTGTCTTAATTAGGGTTATTGTTGCTATGATTTAAAAAAACACAGTGATCATAAGCAACTTGGTGAGCAAACTTATTTCACTCATAGCTCAATATAACATTATCAAAAGCAATGAGGGCAGGAACTGAAGCAGAACAGGAACCTGAAGGCAGGAGCTGATGCAGAGGCCATAGAGGGATGCTGCTTACTGGTTTGCTCCCCATGGCCTGCTCAGCCTACTTTCTTATAGAACCCAGAACCACCAGCCCAGGGATGGTACCACCTACCATGAGCAGGGCTCTCCCCAGCAACCACTAATTAAGTACCTAACAGGCTGGTCTACAGTTCCATCTTATGGAGGCATTTTCTCAATTGAGGCTCTCTCCTTTCAAATGACTTTAGCTTGTGTCAAGTTGACATAACAGCATGGGTGTCAAGAGGACACAGAGGAGGTTGACTGTAATATTATTTGAGATAGCAGGGACTTGAGGTAGCCATAGTGGAGGGATGTCTCAACATGCCACCAATGGTGAGAGGCAAGGCCTCGGAAACAGCCAGACGGGGAAGATTTTCAGAACAGTGCTGAGTGAAAGAAGAGGAACAGAATGAAATCCATACCATTCTTGTACCATTTACTCTGGTTACCAAGCGACACATAAAGCCCACAGTACATATTTGCAAGTGTATGTGCCAAGAATGAACATTCAGAACACTAGAATGGTCCTTGTTGAGGCAGAAAGGGAGAGGAGTAAAGGGAAAGAGAAGAGCAGACACCTAACGCAGTGAAGGCTGAAAACTTGATGGTTTTAGAAAAACATTCATTAATATCAAGGAAGTTCCAGGTTCAAAACTCATCTGGTCAATCCACAGAGAGAAAACAAACAGAAAACACAAACAATCTTTTGAGGCCATTAACTATAGATTCCATCGCTCAGATGTGTAAATCAGTAAGGACAAGGAGGAATCTCCTTTGGTAGACCTCTTTTGTACCCAAAGATCAGAATTAACTGTGTTAGGCCCAGGTAATCTGTATAATATACGAATGGATTCTTCTGGGACTGGGGAGGAGTATAGAAAGGGTTAAGTTTAAATGCTGGCAGAGTCACATAATGTCTCTGGCTTGTGGATTTGTTACATGCACAACCTATTTGTAAAAATAAGGTTTTCTTAAAAGCAGATGTTCTCTGAAATATAGGTGTCCAAATAGTGCAGAGGACAGAGAAAATCATGATTTCACTTTCACTGCTTAGTTAATGATGTTGTAATTAGTCTTGAATTGATGACAAAGCTATTATTTTCTTCTTAATTTTGCCTGCTATGAGGAAAACTGTCTTTTGAAAAGAAGGGAAGTTTCTCTCATTATTTAAAAAAAAAGAAAGACAAAACACATAATCCACACTAGGAGTCTGGAGGAAGAGACCAACACCATCCTCTACCTGCCAGGTTAGTTCTCTGAATTATTTATTCCCTGTGAGGAGTACCAAGCAAGCTTCTCAAGATGTGCAGGGGACCACCGTAGGACCAGTGCTACCATGGATGTAAACCACACTGAAATGCTTTGAAAACTGACAGTCAAGTAGTTTCAGTTAGGAATAATGAAGGAGCTCTGAGGACAGGTAGGGATGGCTGTACCCTAGCAGTGGACTTAACGACAGCATACCCAAACATTGGTAAAATAGTAAGTTTGTCATGTTTCTTAAACACACACACACAAAGCCCTACTGCTAATCTAATGGCCCTCAGAAACTAAGTGTTCATACTCATCCATATAGGGTCTAAGAGGTAGATGTATTGTCCTTACTTTGAGAGACTAGAA